AACCCACTTTACGCGTTTACTTCAAGCTTAAGCTCATAACGCGCCAGATACGGCACAAGTTCTACCAGAACACTTTAAATCAGACTGCTGTGGAGACCGCCTCTTCAGCTCAGCTCCACAAGCCAACCTGCCCATGTCATCCTTTATGTATCGGCAACCTGCAACCTCGCCTCAACCGCTGTGCCCAACACTACTGCTACCTGAGCCATCAGTCCCCAGTAGTCCTGGCGCGTCTACCTTGTCTACCTGCACATTCTTCTCCCATTCACATCACCCCAAGACTGCCCGGATGGGCGAAAAAGGGCTCTCAAGCACCGCAGCCCTTCCTTCCGGTCGGCATTGGAAAGCCCCTATTTCGACTGGCCCAGTTCACAGCAGAGCAGTGGCAATTTCGCGCTACACATCGCAGTCCACAGGACTGTGTCGCCTGCCTTATCTTCTACACCGTCTTCTATACAGGCCTCCTTGGATGGGCTCTGGCGGCCTATCTATTATTTCATTACCTTGTACTGAACAGAGATGCACCCATGATCACCGGACCCCAGAGCCTATTGCACGCCAGCCCGGGACTGGGACTTGCGCCAATAATTGACTCCGAGACGAGGCTAATCAGATTTAAGGTTAGTCAAAGCAACTGGCGGAGGAGAGATGATGTGCACCCAAAAATTGAGATCTTCTCTTGAAAAGAGCTGTATCTATTCCTGGTTAGTATAAATTTGTGAAGGATTGATAATGAATTTTCCAAAAATGATATGCGTAGGACTCACGATTCAGTTCACACAGATGATAATCCTCTTTGGGAAGCAAGGCTGCGTGAATTTTAACGATCTACTCAGAACATTGTATGAAAATTCAACTGCTACATGAAATGCGATCTATTCACACTATTCTGGTAGAAACAAAGCTTAAACAGACTGAATATAATAATTTTTCGTTGGTAAGTAGGTTTTACAAATAGGGCGAGTTCATCTTCAATGAATATAATTAACCTAGCCAATAGGAATATCAAATGCAAGCTTGCTTCATCAACAATGCCCCGAACTAAATTTGAAGTGGTCTGTTGAAGGTCT